CTGAAGCCTCTAACGAGGACACCAGACTGAAGCCTCTAACGAGGACATGTTGGGTCTGACTGCAGAGTTCAGTTTAAGTAAACCGGTAAAATAAATGCTGATCGTGCTGCAGGCATGGTTTTCTCCCCTCTCCGTGTTGGACGGGTTCCTTTTTCTGTCCCAGAATAAATGAGTGACCCGGGACACTTCAGGGCGGTGGATCCCTCAGGGAGCCAGTCAGAATGTTCCCTCAGGTGACGCCGCTCCAGCTGTTCATAACGACACGAGCCGAGGAAGACATTTCTCTTTTAATTGGAAAATAAAACCAACAGTTTGTCCTCTGAGACAGAAGGACTGAGTCTAGGAAGGATCAACAGTTGGTTCTGATGGTTCTGATGGTTCTGTTGGTTTTGTTTTGTAGTTTAGTTTTGATTTTATCTCCTCGACTCGCTCTGGATTCTCGAGTCTTGCTTTGTATTTTAGATTTTATGGATGGATGTTGCGAGCAGCACGATGGTGCAACTGGTAGAGCTGCTGCCTCTCAGCGAGCAGGTCCCTGGTTCAAACCCCGGTCCAGGGGCCTTTCTGGGTGGAGTTTGCATGTTCTCTCCGTGCATGCGTGGGTTTTCTCCGGGTATTCCGGTTTCCTCCCACAGACCAAAAACATGCATGTTAGGCTGATTGGTAACTCTAAATTGTCTCTAGGTGTGAGTGAGAGAGTGAATGGTTGTTTGTCTCGTTTGTCTCTATGTGTCCCTGTGATGGACTGGAGACATGTCCAGGTGTCCCCCGACCCTCACACAGTGATTGCTGGACATGGGCACTGGTGACCCCCGTGACCCAAAATGGAATAAGCGGGTAAAGAAAATGGATGGATGGATGTTGCAGAACTTTCTGCAGCTCAGCCACGACAGAACCAGAACCAGAACCAGAACCAAGGAGCTCATCATCTGTCTGAAGGCTCAACGAGAGGGACTGGACCGACACCGGATCACTCGTCCAATGGGACAGAATGTCTCCTTGAGCATCAGAGACTGAGTCCAGTTTTTGTAAACCAGAAGCTGGACTTCTGTAGTCCCGTCCTCTGTGGTCCTCCAAAGAGTCCGAAAACCAGGTCCAACTGATCCAGAGTTCTGCCAGAGCCCAGCAGACTCTCACAGACCTGGACCAGCAGACTCTCACAGACCTGGGACGCCTGAGTCCAGGATCTGGAGACGTTGAAACGTCAAGTCAAATTAAATTAATTTTATTTATAAAGCACGTTTAAAACAGCAGCTGTTGAAGTGTTGAACAATAAGATCAAAGGCAGAAATTAAAGAAAAAAAGTTAAAGATCAAAAGAAAAAACAAAATCACAAAACAATGAAATAGTAAATCAGTACAACGTGTTAAACATAAGTGAAACAGGAAGTGAGGGGGCGTGTCTAATGCTGGGGGGCAGAGTTTAGGGTCCACGACTGAAAAACCTGATCTGCTCTGAAGCAGCTGGTCAGATGATCTCAGGTCAGAGAAGGAACATCTGGTTGAAGTAGCTGAGAGGGGTATGAGGGTGAAAGGTCATCGATGTCCTTAAATGTTAGAATTTTAAAATCTATTCTGACACGTACAGGGAGCCAGTGAAGGGAGGACAGAACTGGTGACATATGATCAAACCTACGAGTTCCTGTTGAGTCGAGCTGGAGACCTGACTGACCCCAACATAAAGAGTTACAGTCCAGTCAGGTTGTAATGAAGACATGGACCATCGTTTCAAGGTCAGATCTGGTCAACGTGGACTTAATCTATATCTGCCTTAACTGGAAGAAGTTTTTCTGCAGAACAGAGTTAATCTGTTTATTAAACTTAAAGTCAGAGTCTAAAACCGTCCTGAGGTTTGTAACAGACTGTTTAAGATATGACTGAAGAGAGTCCAGGTTTACAGGAACAGAGACAGCAGCAGAGCTAGGACTAAACACAAAACTTCAGTTTACTGATCATTAAAACTTAAAATATTTGAAGCCGTCCACGTCTTAGTGTCATAAAAACATTTTAATAGAGGCTGAGTGGAGCAGGAACTGTTGGGTTTTAAGGGCAGATAGATCTGACAATCATCAGCATAACAATGAAACGAAAGACCAGACCATGTTTCCTCAGGACAGACCCCAAGGGGAGCAGATACAGTGAAAACAGAAGGAGTCCAAAAATCGTGCCCTGTGGAACCCCACAGGAAAAAAGCACTGAAGCAGATAAAGTTACCAACAACAACACAAAACTCCTGTCAACAGGAAACGTGTCCCAAAGACCCATCTGGTGTTTCCAGAGAACAGAGTTGTTTTCTGACGTGCAGGTTCTGAACAGAGCCGGGTCCTGAACAGAACTGGGTCCTGAACAGAACCGGGTTCTGATCCAACAAGACGAGTTGTTTTAATTTACTGTGGAGCTCAGAAACCGGGCCATTAATATTTAAATCGGACAGAACAGGGTCCGGTTTAGTTTCAGCGCCGGTGCTGTAAATTCATGCAGCTCCTGACATTAAGGAGAACTCGCCTCTTTGTCCCCCCCCCCCCGCTGCAGGATGAGGGGGACGAGCAGAGCCAGGTCACAGAACCGGGCCCATCACACAGAGCCATCTGTGTCTGCTGGGCTGGACAGCAGTCGGCAGAACCTCCGCCTCCATGTTGGAGTCCGGATCAGATCAGCCTGACAGTTTCAGACCCCCCCGGTTTAAATTGAAATATTTAAGCTGAAGGCCGGCCCGACTCCTCTGCTGCTTTAACAGAAGTTCTGCTCATGCTGACACTTTGGTCGGCCCGCTTTCTGCCCCTGGGTCGCTCTGGTTCAGTGAGGTGAAGGACGATTTCCAGGCCCGACTCATGTACAAACATTAAACCGGTTCAGATAAAGTCCAGACGGGCCGTGCTTCAGAACCGTGTCCGTCTGGAACCAAACGGACGTTTAAAACATGAACATTTGAAACGACGACACAAAATCCTGTGAAGTGTTTCTGCTGAAAAAGTTTCATCGCTCGAATTAACAGTCGAGTTTGAACAGTTTGCTGAAATCAGCAGAAAGAAGCTAAAGGAACATCCATCCATCCATCCATCCATCCATCCATTATCTTTACCCGCTTATTCCATTTTGGGTCACGGGGGTCGCTGGTGCCCATGTCCAGCAATCACTGTGAGAGGGGCGGGGGACACCCTGGACGGGTCTCCAGTCCATCACAGGGACACATAGAGACAAACGAGACAAACAACCATTCACTCTCTCACTCACACCTAGGGACAATTTAGAGTTACCAATCAGCCTAACATGCATGTTTTTGGTCTGTGGGAGGAAACTGGAGTACCCGGAGAAAACCCACGCATGCACGGAGAGAACATGCAAACTCCACCCAGAAAGGCCCCTGGACCGGGGTTTGAACCAGGGACCTGCTCGCTGAGAGGCAGCAGCTCTACCAGCTGCACCACCGTGCTGCGTTCTAAAGGAACATAAAAAGTTAAAATTATTATTAAGAAACACAAATACAATAGCTGAAAAAAGGCTAAAATAGAAGCTGAAAAGAGCTTAAGGAAACTGAAATCAGCACAAACGAGCTAAAATGCTGAAGCAGAAGAACAGCTGAAATGAGCAGTAACAGGTTGTAAACAGCTAAAGGGTTTAAAGGAGGTGAAGAGTGCTGTTCATTTTAAATGAGGAAAACATGGCTGACGAAGCTAAATGTTTTAAAAAGTATAAAAAGTACGAACACCTGAAGTTCCAGCAAGAACGTCCCGAATGAGCCGAACGTTTTGAAACAGAACAAAAACTGAGGAACGAGTTGAGCTGAAAAACAGGCGAAACAAAAACTGATCGATGTGAAGAGTCAGAAACATTCAGCCCAACGACGAAACGTCTGAACCTGCAGGTGAAAACATCGGACCTCCCGTTGGACTAATGACACACAGACTCGGTTCTGACCCATTTTGTGGGTTCTTGGAACAGGTAACTTAGCCCCGCCCCCTTTAGAAACAACTATTTCACCTTCGCAGGTTCAGGAAGCAAGCGCTTCCTCCTAAACACGTTCTATAAGTGGAGTCACTGCAGAAGTACCGTGGATCACTGCAGAGGTACCAAGGAGTCACTGCAGAAGTACCGTGGATCACTGCAGAAGTACCGTGGATCACTGCAGAGGTACTGTGGCGTCAC